TTTAATTTACCATGACTAAGAGAAGAAGAACAGGAACAAAGTAACGATTGAAGGAACGAAAGAAAAAGAATTAAAGAGTGTTACGTCCTGAGGACTCCACGATTCTTTTCTTTCGTGGAAAATGTCAAAGTTAGCCGCCGGAAGCGACGAGCGATATCAGGGGCAATAATTTAATTAAATATTAGATTTAAGACTTCCTGCGTTCTAAGAAACGGATGAGCGAGAGCTTTCAATTAGCACAATCTGCTGCCGATAAACCCGATTTGCCTACAAATAGAGAGAATCGCCGCCTGGTTTCGCGTGTAAGTTTTGGGAAGGAGACCCTTCCGGTTCCAAAAGATAAGATTCAGTAATTAATTTGGCACACGCCAAATTAAGCGAAGATCTTATCTATCGGTCGCCAACGCCGCGCAAAAATCGGCGGCTGCGGATCAAAGAGGGGTCACTCCGATAACCCTTTTTCCGGATCCGGCGACTCCCGAAAATCAAAGGAGCCTGACTAGGATCCCAAGTATATATATATGGATTTTCCGAGCGACGAGAGTCACTAAAAGTTTGGCAGTCAATTCAGTTTGTCACGCTGTCATTTTTAAACGGCAGAAAAAGAACTTATACTTTGTGCGCGGGTGAAAATCGAGTGCCCGAGAACGCTTCTGGAGAAGCTCCGTGCAACCGGCCCACGAGACCCCAGCGCTTACTCAGCGTGAGCTCCTGCCAAGCTCCCCAGCTCGGTTTTTCAAGTCACAGCAAGTAGTAAGTCATCATGTCTTTATTTTTTAACCGGGAACAACTAAATTAGTCGACATGTCTCAGACCGATCTCGTCCTCAGTGCGTCGCAACCAAAATTCAAATGTGCCACCGCGGCCCCGCCCCTCGAGATCAACCCGGCGTAGCCGAAGGGAAGAAGCACGGAGGCTTCTTGACCAGGCCTACCAGGAGTGGTTAAACTCCTTGGAGGACCCGACAGTGAGACCGGACAACCAGGAGCTTGCTGACTCAGTGTCACCAGCCACTCCTTCGGCTAACTCGCCTCCCTCCTCTCCCGAGGAAATTCCCCTTCGTCCTCTTTCCGCATCCTCCGCTCTCACTTACCGAATTTTCCCAGAGACACCTTCGCCAACTCCCTCACCAACATGTTCTTTTCCTTCAGTCTCCTACTCTCCGGTACCTCTTTCCCCAGAGGAGCCT